GATTTTTAATGACCTGCGGAAACCCTGGTTTGGAGGCCCACCTTCACAGACATGTGTTGGTCAATCACATTTACAAACACGTTAATGGCAACATAATAGAAACAGTTCCAAGGCGTATGGATAACTCTATATGCCTGGGTTAAAGTTTGATGCCACATTGTGTCATTTTAATATCCATGGCTCTCCTCCCAGCATCAGCATCTCTCTTCCACACTTTGGAAAAATTGTATTTGTAATTCTTTTAAGCAGAAAAACAAGGGGGATGAGTGATCGCTCCTGCTGGCGAGGGTTCACACACATAAACGTCTAAAGACATTTTATGATTTAGCATATAAATATAACTACGATAACAGAAAAACTACAGTTTGACATGAAGAGGGTTGTACTAATGTACTAAACAGTCATGTTGTACTTCTACATGTAAAGTAAACCTGCAGTCTGTGCCCCACAATCCCCCTAGAACTAGATTTTACAGCCCTTGTTATCCTTGTTTCTATGCAGCCTGAACTTGTGTGTCTCAAACAGTTTGGGTTCGAACCTACCTGGCCGGAGGCTCTGGGTGTAGCCGATCCCAATCAGACTAGCATTGTTTACTTTGGCCTAAGGGAAGAAACATAATAGGGTGAGAACCAAAGACAACACTTTAAAGGAATTTGCCTCGGTGACGACTGCTGAAGACTCACAGACAGAGAGGCATCTTTGTCCAGCTTGTATTTGGCTGCGATGCCGAAGCGGGTGTTGTTGCTGCCGGCGGTCCAGGCCAGAGTCACGGCCGTCTCCAGCCCCTCGTTTACCTTCTGGTAGATAGAGCCGCCAAACTCGGTCCCATCGTTTCTGATCGAGGGAGGAGAGAAATGCATTCAGAGACGCTGCTGCAGGATGCTGAGCTCCAAGCAGAGTCAACGTGAAACACTCACACGTTGGTGTGCAGCTGGAAGTCGCCGGTCTTGTAGCCGAGGGCAAAGTTGTTCTGAGATAGTTTAGATTTGGCCATATCGAAGGCCATCTGGTAGCCCGCCAGCCAGCCTTCGTACCCCAGCACAGCAGCGGCGTGGACGATGGGCCCCTCGAAGTCCACGTCACAGCCAAGGTTCACAAAGTCGCGCTTGTAGCCTGTCTTCAGCTTACCACTCTTCTTGCTTTAAGAAAAGTCAAACATCAGGTTATCTTCCTACAAAACCACAGTTCATAACTTTTTCTCAGACATTTATTAAGATATAAGATATCTCTGACATCTTTATCAGATTTAGATATCTCCGCTTCTGTCTCGTTGAACCCCAGTCGGCCTCGGCAGATGGCCGCTCACACTGAGCCTGGTTCTGCTGGAGGTTTCTTCCTGTTAAAAGGGAGGTTTTCCTCTCAACTGTCGCTACAAGCATGCTTAGTATGATGGATTGCATTCGAGTCGATGAGTCCATGCAATCAACAGGTTTTCTTTAGAAGGAAAACTTTGAATCAATTTTACTAGATGATCTGGTGAACTGTAAAGTGCTTTGAGATGACATGTGTTGTAAATTGGTGCTATAGAAATAAACTAAATTGAATATAACTTTTCCTATTTGGGTCATTGCAAGTGTTTTCTTTCACAGTATATTGCTAGATTTTGTTCCATTCTTCCTGTCCTGACAGAACCACTGAAGTTGCTTCCTCACACCCACATACATACATGTAGTTGTACTGTTTGTCTTTTTAATTAGAGGATCCTTATACCATTTAAAGTATAAGTAACACCACTAAAATCAATTAACCTGGATGTTTAGATCACTTCCATGGCTCCATGTGTTTAGCACAGTGGCCTAGGGGTGCAAATGCTGTGTAAATACATTTTTCCACAGTAAATTCAAGGCAAAAATAAGACACAAAAAACACAAATCCTTTAAAGGCGAATAGCTGCAATTAAGGATAGCTCTCTGTTTTCAGTGTAATTCGATTGGTACTTTCTATAATCATATCCTCATCTTTCAATCACAGCAGAGACCATGCAGCACATCTAAATGGACACTTTTTTAGGAGATAACTAAAGTTTATCCAGTCTTTTGTTTATAAACAGGAGCACAAAAAGAGTATTCACTCTGCATCCTTGATCCTATAAAAGCATAAATAATCCTGGAAAGGATTCTGGATCGGTTCATTCTTCTGATAAAGAGCGCCCTCTGGTGGATGGCAGAAATATAAGCAGATAATTCATAACTGCGAAAAATATAAATCTAACTAAGTCCTCTTTTCTTAAACGCCTTTTTTCAATTTATAATTTACATTTAAAATAAGAAAACACAAATTAGATTGTCTCCTTTCAAGTGCATATCTTATCATCAGATCATGTTATCTAATTATTTTAAGAGTAAAAATACTCATTTCATTGGCAGATCATCTTATCTACCTGCTCAAATTGAGGGTAAATACACTTGATTTAAGACATTTTCACTCATTTCTAGATCATTTTTGCAACACAGATCGAACAAATGTGAATCTAATAAACAATTTTACAAAGTTGATTCGTTTACATCACTTGCTGCAATCGGAGAAAACAAACAGCATAGTGGAAAGAAGCTGAAAAAAATTCAATGATGTTAACACACAACCACAGAAAAAACTGCAAAGGAAAGATATTGCAAGTAGGAAAAACACCTGCAAGTTAAAGGTATAGTGGAGGATGTTCTTTTTCCGGATGGATCATCTAAATAAGTGGTCCTCCTGATTGTCAATCGTTCTGGTGATGTGTTTACGTAACCCGAGGCTCACACCGACTCCGGTCTTACCGTTGCGGTGCGGTGGGTGCGGCGCCGCAGTGATTCCAAGTCATTAAAAAGACGTAAACCTCTCTCACCGGCTGCTGAGCTGTCCGGCTGCGGTTACTGAGACACTCCAGCGCTGCAGAAAATTCCGCAAGAAAGCTATCCTTGCAGCGTGCCGGAGCCCTCCACAACAAGCTCTCGCAAATATCCTTATTTGGGCCGTGTTATCGCGTGAAGTTATGTAAACTCAAGTGAACTTCTGTTCTCGCGAGTTAAATCTCCGGACCTGTTGCCGGAACCGCAGAGCCGCACCGCACCGTAGTCAAAAGGGCGTGTGAGAGGGGGGGTGCGGGAGTTGCGGTCTCCATCGGCTCAGTAACCGCACCGGAGCCAGTGTGAGCAAGGGGTTAGGCCATCCTGCATTCTCGTCCCCATCTTCACATACCGGTGGTGAGTCTGACATAGTGGAAAAATGGCCTCTTCCTTTGGAAAGTAAGCTTGTATGAGCGATGCAAACAACAACTTTTAAACAGAGCGTGCATGAGGAGAAATGGGCTTGTGCACGCTTTCACACGGGTTTAAAAGGAGTTCCCTACATCAGGCATCCCCAACCTCGGTCTTCGAGGCCCGCTGTCCTGCAGGTTTTAGAGGTTTCCTTGCTCCAGCACAGCTGATTTTAATTGAAAGCTGATTAACAGGCTTTTGGTCTACTGCACTCATTATAATCAGCTGTGTTAAAGCAGGGAAACATCTAAAACCTTCAGGACAGTGGGCTTCGAGGACCGAGGTTGGGGATACCTGCCCTACAGGGTTGTCCATGTGCATTTTTTTTTTAAATGCAGAGGGTGGGTCTTCTAAAAAATTAAGGAAAATCCTGCACTATACCTTTAAGCTGCAAACCGGTGCCACATTATGGAAGTGCTCCAGACGACCGGAGAGATGAGGCCTGACTCCGACATTACTTTGAGTTTATATTCATGGACCGAAGCCCTTTAGCCAAAAACATAACAGGACGACATGCAGGGGACTTCTAAAAGGTGGTTCAGATTAGCTCTGGTTTGTAGTTCCTCTAAACGTTATGTTTGCTGGCCCAATTTTTGTGTTTGCAAGACCTTTTAAACATGCAGTGAAATCATGCATTAACACGTGGTTTGCATTTTCTTGGCCACTATAGTTTTTGGAGTGAAGAACCTTGACCTGCCTGAGGAATCTTGATCTTAAGCTTACATCTTTAGGATGCGTTCAAGTGGAGGCTTCAATTTGTTAAAACCTTGTGGAAGCATTTAATGACAGCTAATGTTGCTATTGTGGAAAAAGGATTCACCAACAACTCAGACTTACTTATGCTGATACAGTGTCGGTGGAAAAGCATCCTAGTAGGTATTATTAGGGTGAAGAAATACAATCAGCCCCATTTCAGCTGTCATTCAAATAAAATAAGTGGCCTTACCCGGTGTTTGGTACGAATGACGTATCCAAGCCGACCTTCAGTCCCTGAGCGAGCTGAGGAGGAGAACAGAGTTAACACATTCAAAATAAAAGAACATTTGGAATATTTATGAACGAAAAACCAACCAGACACACCTGGTCCTCCACAGTGACCTCCGTGGCCAGCGTGTTGTCCGTGTTCCACTTCTGGCTGACGCTCAGGCCGAGCTCCTTCATCTTGTACTTGGTCTCCAGGTTACCAGAAGCCTTTCCCGTGTCGATGTTGCTGGAGCCTGTTGTGTTAAACTCCTGCAGAACAAGAAGGGGAAAAGGTCCAGTAATGGGGTGATGGTGCTCCTTCATCAATACAGCTTAGAAAATACCTTCAACTACAACTGAACTGGATTAGTAATGAAATAAACTCATCAGGGAGGAAAAAATAAGTCCAAACAGGTTTTAATTCTGGGGTTTTATGGATCTGGTCTTTTCTAATTCAGGATCTTAAATTAGTCTGACTTTACTAGTCTGACATTGGGGGAGGAATTTCCTTAAACGTGATTTGTTTCAGGAACGCAACACTTAAGCTCACATAATCTTAGTTTAAGGAAGCTGTTCTCAGTCCTGGTCTTCAGGGAAAACTGCCCTGCATGTTTTAGATGTGGTTAAACTTCAACATTTTTTAGAACATAATCACTTTTATAGCCTGATACATAAAATACCAGAATCAAAGAAGTTTTTCCTTCTTTTTTCCCACAACATCTACTTTAAAACATACAGATTCCTCTGAACTCATGCAGGAATAAAACAGAAAAGGAAGATGGAAGAGAATCCGGCCATAATTATTAAATCAATCAAAATAAAGATCAGTCATTCCCGGCTTTCTGTAATCAATACATTAAACACATATATTGATCTTCTAAATCTAAACTTTAAAACATTTAAGCAAACAGAAAGAAGTTTTTAACAATAATTAAAGGGATAAAATGGAAATAAATGTCTATATTGTCAAATATTGGATTTATTCTCCCTTTGAGAGAAAAGTCCCACAGATTTAAAGAACGTATCCGGAACATTTACTTAAATTACATGTTTAATGTTGTTAAGTAGTTTGTTGTATTTTCCTAATTATATACATTTTTATTTTAGTATTTTTTAACCATTTAAAATATAATATGCAATACAATAATACATTTAAAATATATTCCAAAAAAGTTGAAAAAAAATCCACTGGACTTTGTTTCCAAGTTTAAAGACATCCAGCTTCCCATCCAGGAAGTTTTTTAAATTCAAAATATCTAGATTAGTGTTGAGTTCCAGCCTTTTATAGGTTGGCCCGACAAAGCCTTGTTATGGCTGAGAAAACTCAACACTAATCCAGGCATTTTTAATTGAAAAGCTTCCTGGATGGGAAGCGGAACGTCTTCAAACCTGGAAAGTCCACACTGGAAAAAAATCCAAATCTAGATAAATCCTTTTTTCCTAAAATAACTACATTTGTTCTTGAATCGAGGACGTAAAAAGAGACATTTTGCTAATAGAAAATGAAAATTTACATTTAAAATAAGAAAACACAATTGCATTGTTTTATTTCAAGTGCATATTATCTAATTATAATATTTTAAGAGTAAAAATACTTGTTCTATTGGCAAACTATCTCATTCACACTCAAATTAAGGGTAGGTAAACTTAATTTAAAAAAGTTTTACCTATTTCTAGATCGTTTTTCCAGTGCAGTGGTTTGTTTTTCAACTTTTTTGGAATGACTAGGACCCGGATGACTGAGAATCTTCCCCAGCATTTTAAATATATTGTACTGATTTGATATTTCGTATTTTCTAGAATATACTTTAGTAAAAGCATACTTTAAATCAGGCATTATTTCCACTGTAAGGCTATTTTATGCCTCATTATGACGACAACCCTGGTTTTCTCTACAACAAACATTAAGAGAACAGAAACAAACTGCTGCTCATCCAGTATCTTCTTTCGTTGTAGCAGGATGAAATTAAGAACATTCAAACACTGCCCCCAAGTGGCAGATATTAGTAACTACACACATTATAGACTTCTAAAAGGAATGTTTCTGGAACTTTATTATATTAGGAAGCAGTTTGAACTGAAGTGTGTTTTACCACAATATGTTTTTATACAACATAAGAACTGTATTAAAAAGATGTTATTCATCAACTCAGAGCTGAAAACATCTTTATAGAGAAAAGAAGCTAACGTTTCAGAGAGCACAACGGTGGAGCTTTTAAGACAAAAAAAAACAGTCTGATTTTTGCCAGAGCGGCAAAGACTCTGAAATGTGAGCTGCTTCTTTATCTAGCAGATGAAGTCTCTTTAATTTTGAATTGGAGCTTAATTTGAAGGTAGGAAACCTGAATAAACAAACCTACCATAAGAATAATACAAAGAAAAAAAAACGTATCTTTGTAAATTTGTCGCTACAAGCATGCTTAGCGTGAGGGATTCTATTTGAGTCAATGAATTAGAAAACTTTGTATCAATTTGACTGTATGATCTAGTTGAAATGTAAAGTGCCTTGAGATGACATGTGTTGTGAATTTGGCGCTATATAAATAAACCGCATTGAATTAAATTTACGGAAACGTTCCTGATCCTTCCATTTTTACTTTTGTTACGTTTCAGATCATCAAACTAATTCAAATATTAGACTCTTGGCATAAGTACAACAATCAGCTTTGAAAAGATGATTATGATATTTGTTGTTAAAGAAACAGTTAAATTTAGTGACAGAGGAGGGTAATAGAGCATAAAAAGCCTTATTTCAAGACTTCCAGGACCCGGCAGGTTTTGGATCCGAGTCATGAACTATGCGCGCTTAAGCTTAACGCTGGGAACAGATGGCCGGACATCCTCCAAAGGATTTTCTGTGAGAGGGCGAACTATAGTCTCCTATGGCCAGTTGTTTAAATCTTTAAACCGGGGCAGGATCTTTGCTTTGTGAGCTTTATTAGCCTAACTCATGCTGTCAGGCAGCCTCTATTTAAAAGGTTTAGTCATTAAAAGGGAAGTAATCTGGACTTTGACTTTTAAACTCAACCTAGATTTTTTTCCTTTCTTTAGAAAAAGTCTGTAAGGGTGCAGATTAGTGCTGAAACAATTGATTGGATTACTCCTGATTAATTTAGTAATCGATTAATGTTAACTCGAGCATAGAGATTTTAAAACATGCAATCAGCTAAAAGAGAAATTAACTGTAAACAATTATTAAACCAAAATTGTAAAAAAAAAAAAATATATAAACAGTTTGTTCAGCATAAACAGAAACATGCAAAAAATAAAGTTGTTTTCCAAAGCTGAGAAAATAATTAACAATATTTCAAGCAATCCAGGAACGCATTCAGCTAAATTAACAAAAGTCTTGTATTAAAATGTCCTCAAGTGCAATAATTTTAGCTTCACTTGTGTAAAATCTTCTTTAAGGAACATTTTGTCATCAAATTATTAATCGATTAGTCGGAAAATAATTAGCAGATTAATCAACTGGTTGTTAGTTGCAGGAAATACTTTCCCACATCGATATATACAATTCTTTTAAGAGTCACGGATCATAAGAACTTAAGTGCTGGTTATCCTCCTGCAGCAGTGTGTCGCAGTGAGCTTGTCACAGATATTTTTGATTTATGCCCAATATTGAAGCGTGGTCTGCGCATTGTTATTCCACGCCACAACGCGAGAGGGACAATCAGGAACTAGCTGTGGGTCTAGATATGGCCGAGGCGGTGAGGAAGTGGGGGCAAGTTTGTCCGACAACAGAAGGACATGAGGGTCAAAAAGAGCACGAATCAAGGTGGAAAAATGGTTCCAGCGTTCTTGCGCACCTCGCTCTTCTAGCTGGTCCAACTTCACGAGTCGTTTTCCACAATGGCGGTCACACAAACAAAACAAGCCGGTAAGGTACCAAACAGGAAATACGGATAGTGTAGAGGGGATGTAGATTTGACCAATCAGAGGCCTCCTGTCTGTGGTCACCATATAGGAGAGGTGCACCAGGGTGTCCATTGAAGGGGCGGGAGCATATCTGCGTTCACGGCGAAACATGCAGACAACCTGGTTTCTGAGCATAAATCAGCCTTTAGAATACAATTTTTCAAAACTTTTCTTTAATTAACACACACATTACATTATGGTCGACTGAGGACAGCCTTTAGGGTGTAGATTAATACTCCTGCAACACTCTATATCACTACTAGTGATCTTAACAATAAAGACTGAACCCCTTACACTAGCAGCCATTCAAAATGGCTCTTCCCAGTTTAAAGCCAGCTTCCATCCACTGGATTGACCCCCTCCCTTTCCTTGTCGAGCATATTTTTTTACTCCGACTCCACCACTGACGCTTCTCTTTACGTCTTAATGTTCACAAATCAAAATAGAAAGAATATTTTACATGTTTAAAACAGAACTGTAGGGGACTAACCAAGGACCAGCCAAGGCCCCATGAAGGAGAGTGGGGAAACTTTGAATGACTTTACAGGAAAAACTATCTAGAAATACCGTATTTTCACGACCATAAGGCGCACCGCACTAAAAGGCGCAGTCTCAGTTATGTGTGCCATTACTGTATTTAACACACACATAAGCTGCTTTTTGTGTCTCTGCTTCTGTCTCCTTGAACCCCAGTCGGCCTCGCCAGATGGCCGCTCACACTGAGCCTGGTTCTGCTGGAGGTTTCTTCCTGTTAAAAGGGAGTTTTTTCCTCTCCACTGTCGCTACAAGC